GTTTCCCTTGGAACTATGCAACGCAGCTGCCCTGCTAGACGTAGCATGGCCCTCCAGATTGGCAGCCTCAGACCATTCAGGGTCACACCAGCAGGGCACCCATGCCCTTTCTACCCTTAGGGACATAGTTAATCTCTGTGTTCAGGTGCAGAGATCACATGACTGACAGAAATGGAGGTTGATTTCACATGCTGAAGAGGAATCCTGATCTGAGTGGCTTATAGAAGAGGAGGAGGTCCTGTCCATTTGATTGGAAACTCTCAAGCCTGTAAATATGGTGTAAGGCAAGAGTGATAGAGGGCAGAGGATTTTCTGGGTCTAAGAAGCTACCCTTTAATTGCAGCTTTGTGGAGTCTGGGAAGCTTTCATGTCACCAGTCCTACTTCTGCATCCACAGCATTCAACATTTCACCTGGTCTGACTCACTCCTCTTGCAGTCGCCTCCTCCCCTCTCCACCTTTCAGTGCTCTGGTACCATCCCGCATTGCCTCTGGTCTGCACTTTGCCATAGCATGCTGACTGCTTCTCCCTCCCCCCCAGCCTGGCCCATAGGCACCTGGCTACTCTTCCTGAGCACCCCTGGTCATGACACTTCTCTTCCCTACTGAATCAAAAAGTTCAATGCCTGTTATTACTAGGGTGACGATTTGCTTCAGTTTGCCTGGGACAGTGTTCATGTATATCTGTTTTCCCAGAGTATTTACTAATAGTGCCACCTTTTTCTCTTAAAAGCATCCTAACTTGGCTGATAAGAAGCCTAGTTCACCTGACTTATTTCTACCTGAATGGAATACGCCCCACCTTGACAGCCTGGACTCTGCCTTCTTTCCAATTCCCTTGCCATTTCACACTTAGTCTAACCTTAACATCTTCTGATTTACCCAATTGATAAACACATCGTGATCATCCCTGCTTCTAAGTATTTGCTCAAGTGATACCTCTTCACCTCTACTTTGAGGGAAATACCTCTCAAAGAGCCCCTCCACTTGTCTGTCCAGCAGATCTACTTTAAGTTCAACTTTGCCTAACAAGCCTTCATCTAAACCTCTTGTCAAAAGTTTTCTAAGCCTTCCTCTATAAGATTGGCATAGTCTGGGTTGGAAGACAGAGGAATGAGGTTGGGGAGAGGGAGAATACCGTGAGGTTGTTGCAATGGCTCACAGGAGAGACTCTGGGCAAGTATGAGGTTGGCGAGGAAGGGAACGGAGGCGAGGCTTCTGCTGCATAAGTGGCTGAAGTACTTGGGGTCTGGGAAACTGCTGGTGAGAACGGGAATCAGAGGGCTGGAATGGGTTTACCTGATCCCATCAGTTTCACTGAATCTCAGCAAAGACCAACCAAGCCAAAATGTCCTTTCTCGGGAACACAGTCCCTATCCCATAACCATAACCCCTCACCTCCAATGCCATCTTTCTTCCTGCCAGCTCCATGTGGATTCCCCACAGAAAAATACAAATGCTGACTGTGATAAAATATGCATTTATTTTATGTATTCTTAAGATGACATTTACTTCTATTTAGCATTGAAAGTCACACAACAGCTCACAAGAGCAATACCTTCCTAAAAATACAAAGTATTTTCATATCAATGATCCTTGCCAGTACCCATACAAGGTTCCAGGGAGGTAAATGGGAGAGAAATAACACTGCCTACATGTGGCAGGGGATTGAATTGAGGCTCACAGAGGGCAAGGGACCTGCTCAAAACTTTACATTTTAAAAACAATTGATATTTGTGGAAGACATATATATTTGGAGTTTTTAGTTTATAATTTGGAGTTTAGAATTTTTGGTCCAGGTATTTCATGGAATTCTGGACCCACTTCTGCTTGGGGTCAGCACAGATCTCCTTTGCCAGCTTGGTCTTGAAGCTGTGGGAGAGAGGAAGCAATTAGAAGGCTCCTCTTTGAAAATTCTGACCATTGGACCCTAAACCTCCCAGGACCATCTGCCATGGGGCAAACGGGTTACCATGGGAGAGGAGGAAGGGGACCGAGGAAGCGTGAGACTCCAGGAGTTAGCTGCTGCCCTTGACAGCCCAGTAAAGCCATCTTTGCTCTTAACTTTAAGTAACTGGCATGACCTGAGCAAGTTCCCAGGCAGGGCACTGGGACTGAGCATGTCCTGTTGTGAAACTTAATGGATCGGATTATAGAGGTCAAATTGTCTGAGTCTATGACTCCAAGTAACTCTGACACAGTTTTGGACTCTGTGCCCTAGAAATGAATTTGTGGTCTGGGGGAGGGTGAGCTTTGTCTACCTACATCACAGCTTTCTGGGGACACTTGCTGCTTGTGATGTGTCTGTAGCTCTCCAGGCGCTGAATGGAGATCTTCCGACTGGACACAGTAAAGCAGCAGGTGGTTGGGACAGGAGCTGAATTTTGGGGAAAAAATAAACAGGAAGAATGAGCCACTAATGATATGTAGATATTTTCTTTTTTCTTTTTAACTATACTTTAAAAATAAAGTGATATGCTTTTTTTTTCTAGCAGTCTTAGCTTTACAGAGAAATTGAACAGAAAGTAAAGAGAGTTCCCCTACCCCTCCCAATGCCAACAGACACACACACAGTTACTCCTATTAACATCTCACACTAGTGTGGTGCATTGGTTACAATTATGAGTCAATATTGATATATTATTATTCACTCAGTTCTACATTAAGGTTCCCTCTTTGTGTTGTATAGTTCTATGGGTTTTTCCAAATGTCACGTATTCACTATTACGGTATCGTACAGAATACTTTCACTGCCCTAAAAATCCTCCGTGCTCCTATTCATCTCCCCCACCCCACCCCGCTGAGACCCTGGCAACCACTGATTTTTTTATTTTTTATTTTTT